TAATCTTAAAAAGTTTACAAATAAATCTATTTTAAAAAACATAGTCAAAAGATATGATTTTAAAACTTGAAAAGCTAAATTAGTGAATGAATTAATAATAGATGCAAGGAAGCTAAACTAGTGAATGAATTAATAATAGATGCAAGGCATTCAAGCTCAAAAAGGCTTGTATAACGAAAAACGGCTCATTGAACTTGATGAATTAAAGGTTCTTGTTTACCTTTTGTAATGTTTCATTAATCTATTTACAAGTTTACACAATCTTTTTTCACTCATCAATTTGAGCCAAGGTATAGGATCAAGCAAGTGGTGATACCATCGGCAAGTTACCACCATTCCCGCTAACCAATTCATACATGAATGAAAGGAATAAATGACTTCATTTTCAAATCATTCACAAGAATAGTCAAGAAGACAAGTAACGATGAGCATTTTGAAGAACAAAACTGAACTTTTTCACATTATTCCCGTTCGTTTACTATTAGAAACAACTATTAAACCTAAAATTTGTATGCTAATCACTTATTGCCGATCAAACACTCGCCACATGCAATTCATATGTAAATCTGCACGTTATATACGTGGCCATTGTTCTTCGGGTCAATTATAACAATCGAATTGATTTCAATTAGTGGCGCGTGCAATATTTTGCTAACATCGATTCAATCATATTTCCTTTAATCAGTAGATATAGCGATATCCATATTTTGATTTAAAATCTAGATGATAAATAGGGTAGAAACTACATAATGTCCCGATTTGGAAAAGTGATATTTGGTTTTCCATGTATTTACTTTTATTTATAAATTTTCATGCTATTACTTAATGCTACATGAATACAGGTGAATACACGTGAATACATGTCTAATTGAGAAAAGTACTAGACTTTATGTGATATATTTCTCGAGTATTTAAAGTTATGCGTGCCACAAAACACTTTGAGCTTTTGTAAACATCTATAAGCAAAAAGTGAAAGACGATCTTCAAGATACACTTTATTAATAATGCAACACTTCTTACTAGAACGAGCCAACAAGAAAATTGTTTCTCAGTAGATATGGTTAAAACGCAGGTGCAACGACCATTTTAATTACTCGCATACATGTATAGGGAACTATATTATTATACCTGGCAACGAACAATCATAGTGGTGATTTTAAATAACGCAGGCAGGTTTGTAAATTTCAAATGTAGATGTAGTTTGTTGGTGGTGGTGTACAGAGATTTCGTGTGATTTTTAATTTTTTTTGAACACGCGTCTTCTCACATGACATTGATAAAAATTATTGTTTCTTTTACGTGTGTACAATCATCTGAGAATCTCGGAAAAGAATAATAAAACAATGACGCGTATTTACCGAATGATTATGTGAAACAAGTTTGCTTCTGTTCTGCTTCTGCAGTTGACGAGGATGATTATTAATCAATACGATCGAATCTTTTGCAAACCTTAAAATAAGATTTCCAACAAAAAGCGCGTTCTTATACACCAAGAATCTAAACCCTCTAAATATTGTTCAGATGTTCCTGCAGGTTCAATAGTCGTAGCGTACAAATGTCCCTGCAGGTTCAATAGTTGAATAGTTGTAGCGTACAGATTTCTTGGTCAAAAAGAATTCTCGCTGCGAAATGACGCAAAATCGGATATTAGCTTTAACCTTAAAGCATAGAACGAACGAATCTTGACACAAATTACAGAAATTGGGAATCAAGAAATGTGAGGCCAAGGCCGAGACAACACTTGAACAGACACGAAAGTTTTTTTTTTTTTAGTTTTTTATGTTACAAATCGAGAAAAACAGTTCATCTTCTTCAAAGATTAAAAGCCGAATGGATGAATGGACAACAGTGGAATAAAACAGAATGAATTAGTTAAAGTTGGTTTCTGTCCCTGTTTGTGTGTTGCGCGCGTGTGTATGTGTAAACTGTATGAACTTGTGTTTGACGGTTTTTCCAAACTCCGGAATCCAGACTCTGAATTATTCAACAGACAGCACATTTTGATGCAATAGTTACCTCCTTAGCATCTTTTTACGCTATTACGCGCATTATTTTTGCTTCTGTTCCAAACATCACACAACACGACACATACCTCCTTCTTTAGGAATAATAAAAATAAACTTTATTCGTTTCATAAAAAGTACACTAGCCAAAATAACCATATAAATGTCGCAATGACAACCATATTATTATTATTATTATATTACCATTTACGTAAAAGAAAAAAGGAAAACCATCTCTGCATGGCAGACAACTTTAAACATATTGATGACAAATTTTTAGAGAAAACCATCAATTTTAAATTGACGATATAAATAGCGACGCAGATCCTCGAAAGAGAATACAGGTTTCGAAGTCGTCCCAATGTCAATTAGGAACTGTTGGCTGTCGCATTGTTTGACCATGAATGACGAAAATGATAAAACATTTTTACATATGAACTCTACGCACAATCATTATTATCCCGTTTTGCATTACACCAACTGCTCATTTTCCTGCCACTGTCTGTGTGTGTTAATTGAGTTTCCAAAAAACTCCTTGAATTCCTAAAATAGTGTACGAAGAGGAATTAAGCGTGAATTAGTATGGTACAATTTAAAATAAAATGCATTCAATTCATCTATAATAAAAGATCCAAGAAGATGAGGAGAGGAACAATATCAACAACAACAATATTACTCTCGAAAGAACACAAGGAAAATCCGAAAATTGTGACGTTTCGGATGATAATTTTGTCCAATCAGATGAATGCGTTTGGGTGACGATCTGATGCATCCCATTTTTAGTATTCTCACGTCAAAAATGAAATTCATCATCAAGTGCGAATATATTGACATCTCCACTTGATACATTTCCTCCTTTAACAGAGTACACATGTCATGATTCGCTCTGTCATCGTATTGGCGTGTACACATTTACACCCATCTAAAGGAAATAACAAGACACAACGATCAATTGTCGACGTAACCGTACCGTACGCCCAGAAATATTCAGTTTGCTTTGGAAAGCTTTTGTTTATTTGTGCCATTTTAAATCTCTACGACGTTGTTTATTTGTGCCATTTTTATTATTAAAAAAGTTGAATCGAACGAGTTCGAATCGAATAAGTTCAAAAAGGTTGTTATAACAAAAAGAATGTAACACGCTCTCATTGTTAGCTGGCAAAGTAAAGATTAACCTTTATTTCACAAATGTTTCGAGAAGAAGAGATGGGAATGGCTGAATTTCAAATACAATGACAAAGGTTGAAAATCTCGATTGTAGTTTAATCGGTGGTAGTCTTGAAAACCTATTACGATTTATTTATTGATAAATTTCTTAATTATTATGATACCATATCTGTCACAATGTTTGAAATAAAATCCAAGCATGACCGTGGAAATATGTTATTACCATCATAGATTTGAAGACTAACGCTAAATGATGAATTTTAAATTAAAAATAAATAAATCAATAATCAAACAATAATCTGTATTCTTCAAATTTTCCCATATTGGTGCATGTAGTTTGTTTGTTAGGACGCGCGCAAAGAATATACGCGTAAAATAAATTAGGAAACTATTGCACTTTAGGAGAGTATGATCTACTCTTCACGTATTTCCTTAATATGCATTCTAGTTTCATTGTTAGGTTTATTATTACTTTAACAATGTCGACTCGATTTATATATATATAAACATAATAAAAATTTCGACTCGATTTATGTAAATATAATAAAAATTTCAACTCGATTTATGTAAACATAATAAAATTTCGACTCGATTTGATATGTGTGATGAAAATTATTATCGTGTAAAAAAACATACGTAGCATGAAATTAGTTAGCATCTTGATGAACTAATAATTCGTTTGTATCATCAGCGATTGAAACACAGAGAACAAAAGCTTATCAAGAATCACAACTTGACAATATCACACACATCATCATCACACCCGATATGTCGTTCATTCATTTATCTTAGTTTAGTGTGTACTTTTTGATGCCATTTTTCTAATAATAACGAAATTTTGTCGTTTGTTGTTTTTTCATTGAAATCATCACAAATTTATCGGTTGCATCAATCAAACCAGTATGTCAAATGATCGTGATGATGTTTAATAACGATGATGAATTTTGTCGCTGTTACTTTGCTTATTACCATGGCTGACATTGCCACAGAGTGATTCGGCTGTCGCATTCACATACAGCCTTCGCCTTGGAATGGAAGACAAAAGGTCTATATAAATTATATGTATAAATATTATTTAGAAAAAAGTTTATTTTTTTCAAATACAAGTGGCGTAATATAAATACCATCTACCTAGAGAGATAATATCTAGGTAGATAGCCATTTCAAACCTTAATATATTAACCGATATACTAATTACAGAGTACTATTAAAAAGTAGTCACTATAGTCGGCCCGCTTATTCTTATTTATTTTAAAAAGGTAAGGATATGTTGTGTATGTAATAAATATATTTTTTGATGTAGTAATTTATAAAAAGTGTGTCAATATATAAAGCGGATACAGCATTAAAAAAACACAAAAAAATCTACCACATAAGCCAAATTGCAACATCGCACATTCCTTGGAGGGTCTAGTATCTACAGACAACATACATACAACACACATAAATAAAAGGACCAAGGTCCCTAGAATTTTTTGTATCAAAAAAAAACGCTATAAATCAGCTGTGTCAGTTTGGAAGAAGGAATTTCTTTAGCTTTGTCTCTACAAACACCGCATCACAACATTACGCGGGCCAAATTTTCTATTTCTTATTCCTTTCTTACTCTTATTTCTCTTCTTCTACCTTCGTTCTTCATTCTTCTTCTGTCTCTCACTTTAGTATAAAAAAACAGCAAAAATCTTTCTTTACACTAAAAACATTGTATATCCTTCTCTGAGTTATTTTTTTTTAACGAATAACAACAACTATCAAAATCAACAATAACGCGAGAGAATTTATTCTACAAAACATTATTTCAAAATTTATTTATTTTTATAATAAATAAAAATGACATCTACACACTCTAACGTTTCTTCCACGAAAACACGTTCTTCAGTCACAGCATCAAACAATTCAAAGTCACAATCATCATCATCATCATCAACAACGACCAAAAACTTGACAGAAAAAAGAGCGCCAACATTTGAAATAATATCAACAGATAGGCTTCTCAGCCTATATGAACAACGAAGGGGAACATCATACTTCATTCCTGAAGGATTCGAACCGGTTTTGATTCCAACAAATGGCACACAGCAACCACCAGCTAACCTCCTCTTAGCCAATAAAAGTAAAAAAACTGGTAATAGCCGTAATAGCAGCAGCAGTAATAATGGTAGTAATTCCGCATCCTCTAACAATAATACAAGTAGTCAACACCAACAGCTACTTTTACAACAACAACAACGACAACAAATTCTCATCCAATATCAAACGCTACAACTGCAGCAGCAACAACAGCTTCAACAACAACAGTTCCAACAATTTGATGCTATGAATAATAATGCTAATAATAATAATGCAAAAACGAATCAGAACAGCTCTTCAGCAATGATAAATGCTACACCGGTGGCGTCGTCTAACGTTGGTCTTTCAAACAACGTCGACTTAAAATTTCCTTCTTTAGTGCTTACCCAAGCGAAGGGACCAGCCCCGCGGGGCGGGTCGGTCTCCAAAGCTAATAAGCCAAAGAAACCGCCGAGACCTCCGAATGCTTTTATCTTATACCGACGATCAAAGCAACAATCAATTGTTGCCGCTAACGAAGGAATAACGAATAATGAAGTATCAAAACAGGTCGGTGAAATGTGGCACAAAGCTTCCGCTGATGAGAAATCACATTTTCAACAATTGGCAGACGCTGCAAAAATGGAACACATGCAAAAATATCCCGAGTATAAATATCGACCAAGACGACCTCACGAAAAACGACGAAGAACGAAACGTCCTTCCGCCGCTTCTCTCAACTCTACGTCAACATCAACGAAAGATACCACACAATCGTCAGACGATGTAGTAACAACAATATCATCGCCATTCACGAATGATAATATTGATATTGGCGTTGACAATTCCATTCACGAAATGCTCTTTAATGACATGCAGCGCCGCCCATCAATAGAATCCGTAAGTAGCATGGAGGATTCCACTCAATTTGATTATGCATTTGATGATGATTTCTCTCGCCGAAGTTCTATCGCTTCCACTATCATCGATAATGAAATGCCCGTAATGTTCGATATGACAGCGTCCTCGCCGCTCACTTTATCACCATCGCTAGAATCTGCTCAGGTGGCAGTTTCTCCGGTTGGCGGCGATATGAATGATCAAGTTTTTTTCGAGACAACGTTCGACCCATATACTCTATCATCCAATTTGATGATGGACGTCGCAGCTACTCCAAATAGTTCAGAGTCAGAAATGATTCCATTCAATTTCCTCGATATGACTCCCACATACCTGAACACTTCATCAGCGTTTGGTGACGAATCTTTTGATTATATTAATTTTGAGACATTTGCTGCTGCACTAATGACACCCAATGAACAACAGCTCATGTGCGAACAGCCATGATTTTATTCTTGGCTCTTCCAGCATTAACTCTAAAATTATTTTACACATATATTTTATCTCCTAATTTAATTTAATTTAATTTAACTTAATTTAATTTAATGCATAAATGGGGCTTAGAGTAGACTATTTCAGCCCAACCCTAAATTAATTTATTCAAAAGATTCGTCTTTAATAGTATCGGGGAGAAGCAAATTTATTCCAACATATCAATCAGTACAATGGATACGGATTTATCCCAACAATGGACATTCCTTACTCTGATAACCAAAAAAATTTCTTTTTTTTTATTTTCTAATTCTAATATTACTACGGACATTAGTACACATTCACGACCCCTTTTAATCTATCATCTCCTTTTTATGACTTAATGACATGAAACGAAACGAAACGAAACGAAATCCCAAATGCAACTGCATTTTTTTTCTCCTAATACTCTCTTCTTGTTCATTTTTAAACTCCCTTCCCCTATTTCCATTTTTTTTAATTTTCTCTCCTAATAATATGGCAGCGATTGCGTGTGGGATTTCACCATTTACTATATATATACTATAAGTAATTAATACAACTGGGTGGGGTTTGTGCATAAAATGCGTCCGTGGTACAGTGTGGATGGGTTTAATTTATTTTTTTTTACACTCTACTAATTTTTCTTTTTCTCTTTTCTACTACAACCAAAACTTACCATGTACATAACGAATTGTAGTTGTAAAAATCCAAAAATTTTTTATAAGCTTCGCCCACCACCTACCGCTAGTGTAAACATTCTTTTTTTTTCTGTGTTTAATTTTTTTACTTCCCCTTTTCAATCCCCCTAATGTCGGAGTGAATTATCATTCGCTTCATCTCTTTTTGTTTATTTAATTTCGAATGAGCTTCTTCTCGATCTCGACTAGTAACAGCAGAGTAATGCTGACTTCTTAATAATTGTAAAATTTTCTTCTTTCTCTTCTTCAACGACAAAAAAGCAAATAACAAAAAAATGAGCAAATGCTGTTTCTTCTGAACAAAAAACAAATTTTTGGTTGTTGGTGATTTTTTATTGGATCAAAAAGACGCGTTCTGATTATTCGCGCATATATTTTGAGATGTGAAATACGTATTCTTCTAACTGAAATTTTACATGAAAATATTCTCCATGATAGGTACTTTGAATGTCTAAAAATCGATCGGAAGCAAAGGAAAAATACTCCTTACCTTTTATGTCTACTAGATAAAAACCTTGACTCATTACAAAATTAATGGAATTTCAGTTAACACATGTACCCAAAAAAAACATGTTTCTATTGTGTGCAAACTTTCGAGGGTAAAGATATTGAAAAACCAAGGTACATACGTTTCGCACCCTCCCAGCATTAGCCCCAATCTCAAGAATACACATACACAACATTTGCAATACACGCATGATGCATTATAAATTCGGTACAACGAAATATATTTAAAATGTTTTAAAGTTTTGATTGATTTAAAATTACTATTGTTGTTGTTATTGTAAAAGTGGTACACCAACATAACATCTTGAATAAAATAATAAGCTTTCGTCACGCGTTACTCATGACGAGATCAGTAAATAAAAATAGGCAGGATTTCAAAGATAGAAATAGCGTTGAAAGATGAACAGAGGCAGAAACCCTCTGTATGGGTGAAACAGGAAAAGGGGTAAACTATATGTACGTGTACGTGTACGTGTATACATGTACATGTAATCCTGTTACTTTTTCACGAAGTGATTTATCACCGGATCAAATTTTCATTCAGATTTATGATCAGACGAACGAGATTTTGTAGGTGGGGTCCGCGTTCATAATCATCTATATACGTACATGTGTATGGAAAACGGCTCGTTTTATTATTTAATTTGATGAGAAAAATATTTTATCGTTATATTCAGATTTGTCACAATTTTAATTTTTCCAAATTTATCGACTATAAAAGGACTTTTATATTTTAATAATGACGGTTCTCGATCTTTGGGAATTGTACTAATTTGAGCATGTATGCTATTGTTCCGCAGATGCTGATTGTACTACATACTGATTCTGATTGTGTCACACATTTGCGCTGCGCGTACAGTAACTTTGTTCATCACTTTGGTCCGCACGTGCTCTTTTTCTCTACCACAAATACTCGAGTTAACTGAAATTTTTCTCCAAAGAAATTACACATAAAACACAGGCCACATTTACGTTGGTCTTGCCAATATTTATCACTTCGCGCGTTTTTTCTCTAGAAGCGAAGGCAACACGAAACAGATGCAAAAATGGCAGATATTTGTCATTATAAGTAGCATGCACCGAAAATCATACCGGAAAGTCATAAAAATGACGGCAGATATGTTTGTTTTGTTTTTATATAGGAAATGATATGATTCGACGATACAGAATATCTTAAAGTTTATTCACACGGGAAATTTTACAAGAAGCTTCATATTGTCATAAATCATACTTTAATGACATGACATGACATGACTTGTGTAGACGATCAGTGATGATACATGATGCATTGTACATTGTTTAACCAACGCTAATAATAGCGATAGACAATTCTGAAACAGGGGAATTTGTAAAACTTAAACATCAATGAATCGAATAATATAATTTTTAAGGGATATACGAAAATAATATTAAGTTAATGAATAAACAACAAAACCTTCTCATATGAGAAATAAAAATATATTAGAACATTCTGAAGAGTTTAGAGCAGGGTTAGTTAATTATAACTCCAGAATGGACATTTGCTGTTGAAGAATCAAGATTCTTCGATCGGAATAAGAAGATTTTAATTCATTTATCCGTTCTAAATTTTGCATGTATTATTAATTGTTGAATCCGTAGATAGTAATGAATACTTTGTTGAACCCGTAGATAGTAATTAATCCTCTGTTGAATTCATGGATAGAAATCTAATGTTTGATAAGATTATGAAGTTACGTCATTTAATAAATAATCTAGTAACGGTAAATAACGATAAATCTTTTTGAATCGACAGTAGCTAAATCAGGTTACTGTTAAATCGACCAATTAGATGTGCTAACAGCGGCAAACAGCCAAACGTTTTATTTTGTTCAATGGCAAATCAATATGCAAGTGAATACGTAAATATAATTAATTTTCTTTAATGTCAAAATTTTCTGACGTACATCGCGACGATCCTTCAAAGAAACAAACAAATGATCAATAAGTCAAAACTCAAAAAAACTTGTTCTCGGGTTTATTTGTTACTTGAAATAGTTCGGAATGCAGTGCAATTTACCTAGCTGCTTATATCGAACAACTCTAAAAATTACAGTGGGCTTTTTCTCCAAATTATTCATAAAGTAAGAAAGTGATAGTTCAGAGGCAGGTGATTCGACTCGGGAATAAAAACAAAAAGTATACAGTTATCACACCTGTTTCGGCTATTTTCCATTTAAATCCATCTCAATTATCTCTCTTTAAAGTAATAGTAGTAGCAAAATAAAATAACCTTTTACTTTCGAAAGATATACTTTATTGCTATTATTGCATGAAACGCTTAAGCTATTGATGCAATTAACCCTTTGTTTGTATCATTTTTCAATCGAATATTTACCTGAGAATCACGCACTCAACCGGTTAATTAACTATTAGTTAAAATACTATATAGAATAAAACTTAATAAATCAACTTGCAACAAAGGTTAATTACCAAAACGAGTAAAAAAAGACAATGAGAACCAATGCTCATGTTCGAATTCGAGTAGCACCATTGTTTTTTCTCATGCATAATTTAAATTATTTGTTCGCTAAAGACAATGATCACGTTCCGCTGTTTTTACAATCCTATTGTTTTCGAGCGATATATTTAGTAATGATTTTGTTCATTGTATTAATTTCTATTTATGGAAAATAGGTTTGCATAAGGAGGTGTTGTTTCATCATCTGATGCATACAGTGTGAATGCTATTCGGAAAATAATATGGAAATTCATGAATTATAATAATGCGTATAGACTAAGTTGACTAATTCGTTATATATTTTTGCGCGGCTTAGAAGTCACGCGCAGACTGCGGTGCAACTAAGAAATATTTTTACATGTTAAAAAAAGGAAAATAATATTAGTAAACTTTTCCGATGTTACTTATATGACAATCAAAGTGGGAAAATACCTGAATTTATCATCATAGGGAATCGATATAGATAGTCGTGCAATTTAAAATATGTAACAAAATTACACCACAAGAGCATACAAATTATTGTTACAATCATCTAGGCATATATCGTTCAACATAGAAATTGTGTAGTAGCTAGTTAGTGGCATTTTGTGCTTTGTTCATGGGGCAAAATATTTATAAACTAAAATTTTATTAGAATTCACTAAGAAACATATCAATCAAATAAACTCAAAAATCAAGTATTCCCATTGAAACTCCGAGTTGCGGTTTGTAAGTGCTGCAGGGATTTGGGCTGTTCGCTGTACTACAAATTTTTATGCATGCATTAAATTTAGGGTATACATCTGTTTAAATTTAAATGGGAAGCTTTATACCCCAAAACTTTAATTCTACTACTATTACACTTCTCTCACCCTGAAGAAAACTTGTCAGAATTCACCGGTCTTTTTATTAACAAAATTGCCGGGTCGGGACAAACAATTACGATTCTGAACACTCATCTCCCGGATCTATTGAAATTCCGGAATCAAAATACCCGTGAATTTTTAGATAAACAATGACAGGTTTTCTTAAGGGTCAATAAAGTTATAGTTGCATCCCCTGTTTCGAAATAAATTCTTTCCCCGCAAAAAAGTTAAATTCTGTACAACTTTTTCAAAAAATAAGGAAATAATATTGAGAGAAAAGTACAGATTTCACTGTTTTTAAGATTGTCAATGTCGAGAAGGAGCGGAAAGTGTGCATCAATTATCATTGACATATCATTTTCTTTAATTGGAATAAGTGGTGGTTGTTTAAAAATTTTGTATTGAACAGGAATTGATTTTCCATATTTCCTAACCAAAAGGCTTCTTTCAATGAATCCCAAACCCTTTTACGCATGTAATTAAACTTGCATCACAGATATTTCTTGATTTGGAAAGAAGAACAATAGAGACGTTCATTATTCTCAAATAATAATTTTTACCATTTATATCCATCATTTATTATTATGTGGTGATGAACATTTAAATGTGATCAAAAATTTAAAAAATCATGTTGCTGCATAAACAATGAAAAGTATTTTTGGCGTTGCAAGTTTTCTATTGTTTAAAATTTTTGTGAGAAATAACTTATCTCTATTGATTCTCATTAGCAACAAAAGCCCGTATGCAGAATAATTCAATTGATTTAGTATGTTCATTAGAATAATATAAAGTATACAATGGCAATTCATCTTATTAATCTGTCTGTTTGTTTTTCCTATGATTAGTACAAGTTAGGTGAGTCCTACTAAAACTAGTGCAAGTGCCTCACGTTATAGTGACACGTAAAAAATGGCAATAGAGCGAGGTGCCCGTGTAATACGTGATTAATCATAGCGATACGATGAGTATGTGTCGATAAACTCGGACATATTAATAATTTAATCACATATTACACTAGCACCTCATTATATTGAGTTTTTTTTACATGTCACGATAACGGGAGACACTTGTACTATGTGGCTGATAAGCTTTTGATGTTCGGGAGATCAATTCGCTTAGGATTACACCACCATATTTTAAATATGTTACTATATAATAATCAGTGTTGGCAATTGGACCAATTGGATATGTGTCCAATTCTAATTCAAAACAATTGGACATATAAAGTTGCCAACACTGATATAATGGCCATAACCCAGTGTTAAGGTATTTTCTATAGCGACATTTATAACGATAACGATAATTTTAAAACAAAGCAATACTAATGGCGATCTTTTTTAGTTATCGATTGATTCTCAGTAAAAATTTAACCTAGTACATTAAATTTCCATAAACTAGTATAGTAGAAAATTTGAAATAATAACAAAAAAATATACATGTATAATGTACTAGTTTTTAGCAAAAGGATAGTAAATTCCGAACCAATTATCGTTGATATTTTTCAAATTCCTAATTAGTCATTTACAATAAAACTTTCCTTTAAAACAAGAAATTCTCAAACATGAATACATTTCACACTGAAATCGGATTCTTATGAGAAGCTGTTTTTCCAATAAACAATCAAAAAAAGAAAAATGATAAAAGGAGACATTGTCTTAAATTCCGATTGAACATATTTTTTTTTTGTAGGATAAAAAGAGCTAATCAAAATGTCCCTAAATACATGTACATGCAGATGTAGTACTAAGCCTATTTTAATGCTACGTATCATCAAAACAATAACTTCAAAAAAATTTTCATGACATGTATACGTAAGGCGTTAATTTCGTGTTATCGTTTGTTCATTCAAATATTCGCACACAATTCAGTTATAATCAATTTTAAACCAAATTTTTGTTTTATAAGATTAAGCATTTTAAATGAATTCTTTGGATCCATATCTGGTAAATAAGGATGGATATTTAAAATTTTGCGAAAATTGAAACAGGACGTCGTACAAATGTTGTTTAATTATTCAAGACTGATATCAATATTATGCAATATTTGTTGCAATTCAATTCGGCATTATATCATAATCGTTTCGATACTTTTAAAAGGCTCCATTAAAAACATCAGTGCTTGGGAACCGGTTGACCCTGTGATCTGAAACTTTTCCGTATGCAAGTTTTAATTATTTGGAACGAATTCCAAGATAGGTGTGTAAGGAATTATTTAGCGCTAGGTATTATTGCACGTCGAATTCCGTGCGTGTTTCTTATTAATTCCTGATGCATCTATTATATGTATAACTCCTATCTGGAATTCGTTCCAAATTAATTAAAGCTTTTACACAGAAATAATCAATATTCTGTAAATTTCTGAAAAATCACGTAAATTTTTTCATATGGCTAAAAACGGTTAACCAACCATGGTTTAAATAATGATTTATATATATATTAGCATTTTGTTGTGGGATTGACATTGGATTTGCATCAGATAAAACAAAGAGGGAGATTGCTAGGATCAAAACAATCTTAACGTTAAGTTTTGTAAAGGTAATCATTGTTAGATTTTTATTTAAGTTTCTTATTAATTTTCAAACTTTTAGTTAGTGGATTGAAAAGTGCAAGCGAGCGTTTCTTTATAAGAAAAACATATTGATTAAAGATACTATATTTAAATCATGTGATTTAAAAAATTATTTATGATTTTTACGCGAGAAAAATGAGATAAAAGATAATAAATAATAAGATTTTCTTTATTTTAATAATTAAACCATTAAATATGAGTGCTATTATCACTTCCTACCAACGAGGACAAGAATTTGAACGAGAAATTTATGATTTATTAAGAGAAGTAGGGATAATGTGTCACAGTGTCTGTGAGTATATTCACAAGTATTATGTATCTGAAGTTACGTTGCCGATGCTTTACGCCAGGGCCTGTGGTGAATAAGATACATGAATAAAATAATTAATATTACCTTGATAATGATGACACAATTATATATATTAATTTAGATGCAGACGAGGTGATGGTGGTGTGGATATTGATGGTGAGATTATAGAAATCCCAATTGTAGGTCAATGTAAAAATTGGACACAAAGAGTTGGTGTTGATGGTAATTCGTGATATGGAAGGTAAATATAATTTATTGTTTATCACGATACTCTAAAGATACAATTGGGATTATAGATGGTTTTATAGAACGATAAGAAAAAATTTGCATGTGCTAATGTATCGGCTACACTTTAAGTATAGTGCAGAAACTCTTAATTAAACTCTAGTTAATCGTTGCGATTTAAAAAACCCGAAGGCCTTTAACATCTATTATACAAATTACAGAAGAGTATTTTTAATTGTATTGTTGTTTATAATAAGGTCTGTTCAAATTTTGAAAAATATAATATATACATTGAAAATTTGTATTATCGATGTTACGTACGTACATGTAATTGGTACGCCATCTATCTTTGTGTGAAAATCTTCACTTTTTGTTATAATTTAAAAAGGCAATACGTAATTAATCAGATAATACAAATAGGGTTGGGTAATTCCGTACATATAAATACAAGTTAATAAGACGTACAAGTTATAGTTGATAATATATTTATAAATTAATTGTGAATAACAATACATAACATTCGAATTAACGTTTCATTTGACTGCTCACTACTGTAATCAACTCTGGATAATACAGAAAGTTCCAAACTACCAATGGTATGTAATTTTTTTTATTAAATACGTAGTTCCAGGTATAGATTGATTTTGACAGAATCTCATCCATATCAATATGATGTTATTGCTAAAAACAGTAAAAAAGATATCAGTATCATCAATAAAAAACATGGCGATATTATTCTGGTCTTTATGCATAACGATAAGAGAGTTCGCATTAGCACCGATCATGATAATGAAAACATATATTCAAAAATAATAACGACAATGAAAATACGCTCATATGATTTAGTTTATTTTTTCACATTTTTGATTATATTAGATTCCGATCATGATAATGAAAACATCTATTCAAAATAATAACGACAATGAAAATACGCTCATATGATTTAGTTTATTTTTTCACATTTTTGATTATATTAGATTCCGATCATGACAATGAAAACATCTATTCAAAAATAATAACGACAATAAAAATATGCTCATATGATTTAGATTATTTTTTCACATTTTCGATTATATTAGATTCCGATCATGACAATGAAAACATCTATTTAAAAATAATAACGACAATGAGAAAAATACTCTGGTATCGTTATCGATAACGATATGTCTATTTTTAGCATCGATTTCATATATAGACGATCATCTCAAAATTATCTCTTACAGAATACAAGTGATCGTCCGTGGTAAGTATTTATCATTGTCGATATTTGCTAGTGATAGTGAGTGTCTACATGTACATGTTTATGAGTTTAACTATTATTCTTGATCATGTTAATAAATAAAGCATTTTTAGTGGTTTCATTGCATTGTCATTTGCGTGGTAATGTATGTTCTGTTATATGTGCAGTATATTCATTCAATAAGTGTTTCAAACATAAACTTTTCTTATAAAAAGAGACACTCACTTCCAAATCTCCATTCTAACATTCAAAAATCAACAAGCAACTCGAATATAAACATAAAATGACTACATTCAAACAACTTTTCGCAGTCGCTTTGCTTCTAGCAATCTGTCTCTTCGTTTCATCTGATGCAATCCCCAATCCTGATCCAATACCCGGAGATGTCAACTTCAATGGCTATCTTACTGTATTCAATGGTGAAACCTATTTTTGTAATTGTGATATTAAGGGTGGTTACCAACCAACATGTTGTAAAATATTTAAGAAGCCGCCATATTGATACTAGTCAATAATGTTTTTATTTTTATTTTTTTCAATTTGTATGTATGTTACATATTTTTAAGTTTTGAATAAAATATATTTAATTTATTGCTGGTGTAAATGTCAGAAAATTGCTCGATCGATTTAAGAGTGTAAATAGTTATTACATTGAATTTAACTGACGTATATACAAATTTATTATAGAAAAACAAGCAGTTTTCTCACCATTTAATTTAATATGGGGGGGGTTTGGTTCGTTGACTTTTTATATTAAATATGAATGCAAATAATTTTTATTTATTATAAAAAGATTATGATCATTACGTATAGTTTAATACATATCGATATGTATTAATATTAATAGTGATTCAACATAATTATTATAAAAATAAATAATAAATAATTAAAGCTTTTATTTGCACACCCGAAAGAATAAAAAAATTCATAAAATTAATTAATTATATCAATTGTCAAAAAAAATTTGTTTCTTGCGAGAACGACGTACTGCACAGAATCCCACCAAGATTGCAAGATCCACCACACAACCAAACACACAACCAACAATAATTAAAATCCAAGATTTATGAATGCAAGATCATTAATTTTACAATTGCTTGCACCAGAAAGCCAATTATGATCCATAAAAGCCCAAACTATTGGAAATATTGGCACCAAATTTTCTAAAAAAAAAACTAACCAGGACTCCAATGATAAATACGCGAAGAATAATAGCCACCATCGCAAGTTTCCCACTTTTCCGAGCCTCCTACAGGATATTTTTTGATCGAAATAGAGGTAATCACTACGCCATAGATAGAAAGAATAAATATCGCCGCTATGAGATTACAGATCCATCGTTTAAATTCCTGGCTGAATATTTAGATTGTTTTCGATTGTTAATAATAATTTGATGAAAATTCTTAGTTTACTTTCGAACTTTTCTGAATAATATAAAGATTTAGCTCGCGAGGATTGATAAATATTTAAACTAACTTTTGTGAACAAAGAAATTTTTTCGTTGTTTACACATAAGTTATAGTTGATAATACGTGTATAAATTAATTATGAATGACAATACATAATAATGAAATGTTTCCTTCGACTACTCACTACCCAAATTCGATAACGTTATTTATATGCTAGTTTGGTGATCGTGACTGATTTCTGCTACAATAGAATAACCAACTTAGGTTATGACGCCCCCGTATTGTTATCGCGAGTTTGATGAACCGAATACATTTTATACGTCATTTGATATCGTATGCTGGCTTAGATCGTGGCCGATTTCCGTCGCTGGGACACAGACAAAAAAAAGTAAAAGTACACCTTGCGATTTATGTATTATTAGTAGTAACAGGATTCTTGATTGTAGATTTTCGAATAGTTATTGCTTCCTTTAATGCTTCTTCAAGCTCAAAATTATACTCTTGCTCTAGCTTTTCTATGGAAGCTTTGAATGCTTTCTCGATCTCTTCTGTCAAGAGTTTATTGATATTTCGAGCTAGCTTGGTATTGTGATCTTGCATTATTGTCATTTTATGTAACGCATAAAAAAAATAATCGCATAAATCCTATATCACGTAAATGCTATCGATAATGTTATCATGCATATGCTATCGATAATGCTATCATGTATATGCTATCGGGCTACGCTATCAAAAAATGCTATCGAGTACGTTATATAAATACTATCGAAAAGTATTATCCAGTTATGCTATACATTTGATTGATTTTAAATTGACACTGTAGGTTTCAAAGAGTAAACTTTGTTTCTTTTATTGATTAAAATACTTCAGTCATCACTAAAACTAATAGAAGATAATAGTAGAAGAAATGAAAAAGAACTTGATTCCTGACATGAAAAGATCCTAGCAAGAAAATAAGAAATATTAGAAAAGAAAATAGTAAAAGGAATCAAAACGTATCCAGAATTGCATACAGTTTTATTGTGATTATTCGCAGTCACATTCAGGATAACATTTGCAACCTTTTCCTCCGTTTTTGCAATCGCATTTATGGTCATCATTGTCAGAATTATTGTTACCAATTGGATTTGGATTTGGATTCGGTAAAGTAGGAAAGATAGTTGCGAAAAGAGAGAAAATATTGAGTTTCATTTTGATATTGTCAAGTAATTTTCACTTTTTTAGAGAATATTTTCTTTTGGTATTTTAATTTATAGAAATAAGCGTGTACTCATAAAAATATGGTATCATCCATTTAAGAAACATAGATAAGAGAGTTTTTAGTTGGTAAACAATAGATCAAATGACATCTCGTATTTCATTCCAATCCAGATAAGATAGTTTTTTGTTAGTAAACAATAGGTCAAATGACATCTCGAAAGAGCCTATCTTGTATTACGTTCTAGCTTACTACGTATTTACGTATTGATGTTAGATAATAATAACCAATCATTTAAATCATATGATTCAATGGTTGGAGTTTCTTGTATAATCTGTATTTTTAACCCTATCGCTATTATTAATATTAAAACCATATGTAAAATTAACAATTACATGAGCATAATGATATAAAAGGTAATAAATAATAAAGCCTTCTTTCTTTTAATAATTAAATCATTAAATATGATGGCTATTATTACTTCCTTATTAAATATTTGTCGAGTTAGGAGAATTGAAAGCACAACGTGTGTCATATATATTATGAACGTTCTTCTCCGAAAGGAAATCTGAAAGTTTAAAGGTAGGGTCTTTTATACATATATTAATTAATGTCGATCACCGGACCAAGTTATTTTGAATAGAATAAAAGAACGTGACAAAGATGAAGCGACAACCAATAATTAAATTTCCATTTTGTATTTTCAGAACGAGTTCACAATGTATATTTTTGTTCATTTTGAATGTATTTTAAAGTTTATAATAAATTTTACAAGAGAAGAATTTCGATTGTAAGATGCTTATTACTTTTAAAAATGCTTATTACCTGCTTTAACTACAACAATTCAAATTATTATTTTATTAAACTTGGAAATTGTGAATGTGGCGTCGAAATGTGGCGCTACGCCTCAGTATGATGGCTTAGAAAAGTTGTATCAAAAGTATCGTGATAGTGGTTTGGTTGTTCTTGGTTTCCCGTGTAATCAGTTTGGTTCTCAAGAGCCTTGGGATGAGAGAAGTAAACATTATTGCAGTAGTATTTTTAACACGATTTACTATATTGAAATTATCATATAAATTTTAGCTATATCAGAGTTCTGTCAAGCAACTTATAGCATCAAATTTCTATTACTCTCGAAAGTTGATGTAAATGGCGAAAACACTCACCCTGTCTATAAATTTCTAAAGTCAAATAACCCAAATGATAGTGGTAATATCAAGTGGAATTTTGAGAAATTTTTGGTGGATCGTAATGGAAATATTGTCATGAGAAAATACACGCAAGATACGGTAAGTGGCTAATTTGGTTTAGTGGTGTTAGATGGATAATTATCTTATTCGACTCTATATTATCAAAAAGCCGGACAGTTTGGAAAGCCCAATTAAGAGATTGTTGGAGGTGTAATTAATATTATATACATAAACATTTCTTGTTCAATTCTACCAAATCATTTCATCTCGTAAGATGATGATATCGGTTAGCGTTAGTTAGATGGTGAAATGTAGGTTAAGATTTATCATTTTCTCCTCAAAAACAATAAATTATGTACGCAGCTTCAAAGATTTATTTTTAGATTAACATATACGTATAATTATTCGTATTATGCTAAAAATCCGCGGAAAGTAATTGTGAAGAGATATAAAGGTGGAGATCGTAAAATAGTTATTTAATTGTAATTAAAACAGTATCGATAGAATATTATTCTACAATAAAATACACTAATCGCTGGTCATGATGGCATCCTTGCATTCCTTGGGTTTCTTGAATCTTTTCTTGAACTAAGATCTAATTTCTTTTTTCCTA